CGCATCCATGTCGCCCACTGGCCTGAATGGCGGAGCTGGACACGGCCTTCACTATCCGATGGTGGCCCCTCAGTACGGGCGTCACAGCAATTTTCCGCCTGTGAACCCAGCTGATCAGAACCCCCCCTGCAATACTCTTTACGTCGGCAACCTCCCCATCGACACGTCGGAGGAAGAGCTCAAGGCCATGTTCTCTAAGCAGCGTGGGTACAAGCGACTCTGTTTCCGCACGAAGCAGAATGGCCCGATGTGTTTTGTTGAGTTCGAAGACGTCACGTTCGCAACCAAGGCGCTGAATGAACTTTACGGTCAGCCGCTTCACAACAGCGTCAAGGGTGGCATTCGACTCAGTTTCTCCAAGAACCCTCTCGGCGTCCGATCAGGCCAGACATCTGGGCAGGGTGCTGCCAACTCCATGGTCGCCATGATGGCAGGGTCCCCCAACGGATTCACAACAGCCAACGGCCCCCCACCAGGGCTCACTGTTCCGCCCGGTCTCAGTTCCGGCCGTTACGGAGGGTCATCGGGCGGTCAATCTTACACTCCCGCAGGCTTCTCGGCGAATGGCACTCTGTCTCATAACCCTTGGAATGGGTACAGCGGACCCATGGCCTCGGGCGGACCGAATGTGAACATGGGTGGGAATGGCTCCACACCCTACATGAGCCCACACATGCTGGGCAGATAGTAGGGTTCATTCCAGTGCATTCTCCGTAGTGAACGGTGGGAACCACTCTGGCTTTTTTTCTTTCTTTTCTTTTGGGCAAGCATGGTGTGGATTGGAAGCATGGTAACGGACGGCATTGGAGTTATCTGAAAGCGATGCGTAGGAAAGCATGGGGGCGACCAAGCCATGACGGTCACTCACAAACCAGCCCAACATGGTGGCGGTTGGCTTACATGTCTGAACAGCTATGGCATGGCCACAGCCATTTGTGGAAAGATGGTCATATCGAGGCGTTGTTTCGAATCCAGTGGACCTGGCACCAATTTTCCCTACTCAACAAAGACGGTGGGCGACACATTTGGCCATCGGGAGGAGTCTGCAATTTTGGCAGAGGGCTCACTATGGCGTTCAGGAGAAGATGTACCTTCCCGGCAGTCCGACACACTTTCACGATTATCCGGTGCACACATTGATTTGGGTCTCTTTCTCGCTGTCTTTTTTTCCTTCCTCCTAGCTTGGGGTTTCTCTTCATGCAACGAGTTTTTGTCATTGGTTCAATCCGGAATTCACGATCTCCCCGGATCGCTGAAGAAGAGGGACACAGCGGGCGCAGACAGGTTCTAGCGCTACTGCAAGCGGTCTCTGCCTTGGTGCGACTTGTGGGCAGTCTCGACAGCAGCAAGAAGTGTGTATCCACGATCAAGCGCTCTCAAAGAAAGCAACACCGCAAGGAAACGATAACCCCTCCACGAGGGGGCAATACACATGGCAAGCGAGGAGCATTGGCGAAGGATTTGGCGCGGGGTCTGAAGACAAAACAACAAATTGTCCGTCGATTGACGGAAGGGTGTGTCCCCATACGAGGTCTCTGTATTCCAGCTTCAACACTCCGATGAGGAGAAATGATACTGGACGAGGCACTGCGCTTTGGGGAGGCACTGCGCTTTGGGGACGACGGACAGGGAACACATGGGAGAGACAAAAAGCGAGGCGGGACCCGGATTCGGCGAATTTCGGACACGTGGGGGGGGGGGCGTAGCGGCTGCGTGCTCGATATGCACTACTTTTTCGTTGATCCCTTCCACCACACTCTCTCACGCATTGTATCAGCGACACAGGGCGAGGCACATGGTCAACGGGTACCGAGGCATCGCATACAAAAGGATCAGCATAAAGATGGGAAAGGCAAGGACGGGAAGGATTTGTCAGGCGAGGCAAAAGATGGGCTCTCTTCTCACTTTCGACTGGATGGCACCGGGAGCAACCGTGCAAGGCATGGGCGTGCTTCGAGCCGGATCAGAAGTGAGGAGGAGCCTCGGGCGTCACTGTTTCTGTTTCTGTTCTCTTTTTCTTTCTTTCTTTCTTGGTATACCTGGCTGTGGTTTCCTTTTCATCTTGCTTTTGCTATTTTCTTCTGGGTTGTTCCCTCTCTAGGCCCGATTTCATCAATCGCTACGCTGGCGTTCTCTGTTTTGTCAAGGCCTGTCGATTTGGGAGCGACTCATTACATACCCCTCGTTTCACTGGTTTTCTATTCTTCCTGCCTTTTTCTCCTCTCCTAGCGACGACGTGGTGGCATTTGATCATTGCTGCTTGACAGGGAGTTTCATAGGAATGCTGAGACGAGCGGGATCCGGGGTTATGGGCAGTAAACTATTGGTACAATACGAAAACACCTTCACTAGAACGCTGGCGAGCTCTGCAGGACCGCGAGGTCTCCCAATGTTCAAGCTATGAAAACGTGACCGACGAAGATGATCTGTTGACTGTCGACTGTAGCCTGATGGGAGCTCGCTGATGAGACGAGGCGTACGTCGAGACAGCCCCGGGCGGGTAGAAACGGGTCCCGCACAGCGCAGGGCTCAGTTTTCGAGGGGCGCTCGGAACGGCACATTGTAGATTTGCATGTGCTCTGACCAGCATGCGCCGCGCCTTCTGCTTTGGTTCTTTTGCATGCCGTCGCTGCAGGGCGCGAGGCGAAAGCAACGCTACGCCGAGTGACAGGTCGGGTGGAGGGGGGGGGGGGGGGGGCGGCCTGTGGAGGGGGTCTCTAGGTAGAGTGAGGGCGACGGTTCTGCGGGCGACACAGCGAGCCTGCGGGCGAGCCAGCCAGCCAGTGAGGCAGCACTGTACGCAACCGAGACGGCGGCACCATGTCGAAAGGGTCGAGCTGCCCGCGTCTCTCTGGGAGAAGAAGGGGGGGCAATGCCGCTCTTCAGTGGTTGGCCCCGGGCCATGGGTGGTGTGCGGCAGATTCTTCACGTTGGAACATTGGGCCGGGACGATAGCTGTGCGACAGGCCTCTGATGTCGCGATTCACGTCACGGGCTGATAGGAAGAAAGAGGAAAAGAAAGGAAGAGACTGATGACGGCTGTTTGTTCACACAAGGATGTGAAGTCGGGGGTTTTTTTTGGGGGGGGGGGCTCTATTTTGGCATGTGCCAAGGTATCGTAGATGTACCGTACGTAGTGTCCTTCCTACTCCACCCTCATGTTCTCCGAGGCGAAGAGGGGAGAGAGAGAGAGAGAGACAGGATGAGAAACGGAGGGAAATGGCCGGGGTGGGTGTCTCGTCTTTTGAATGGGGAGTTGCCACGTTGTGTTATAGGTGGTGATATGCGCAGATGCATAGGGGGGTCTTGGAGGAAAGGGTGTGTGGAAGGTGTAGGCATCACGGTGAGTTTCTGGACAGGTGTGTCTGCCTGTCCGTCAGTTTGACTGCTTGTTTGTCTGCCTGTCCGTCAGTTTGACTGCTTGTTTGTCTGCCTGTCCGTCAGTTTGACTGCCCGTTTGTCTGCCTGTCAGTCGGTTTGTCTGTCTGTCTGTCTTGGTAGCTGGACGCTGGTGGTAGGTGCGGGAGAGGGAACGACGCGCCGGGCCCCCGGGCGAGGAAGGACAGAAGGGTGGGGGGAAGGGCAGAGGTAGAAGAGGCTCTACGCTGTACTGGTATCGAGTATGGTGTGAAGGAAAGGGGGCGCTATAGGATCGTGCTGTCGAAGCGATGCGGGTGGCGGGCCCAGGTAGGGTGGGAGGCTTGGGTCTGGAACACACGGAGCGGGCGGCAGAGAGCGAAGAGGATGCGGCTATCTTCAGTGGCGGTGCCCCCCCGACACAGCTCGAGTGCTCTGAGGCTTCTTGATCTGACGTGCGTCTGAGGGGCGCGTGGCAGGGGGGGGGGAGGGGGTTATGCGGGAGAGAAGCGACGCGGTTCTGTGGTGGATGGTGGAGGGCGTGTGTGTGTGTGTGCATGGGCACGGCTGGTGGGACGGGCCTGACCGAGGCGGGGGACCGGTCTGCGGTACGGTACGACGTGAAGAAGGGTGGAAGGCCTGAGGCTGAGTGGGTGTGGGCAGGATCCGGGCCAAGCGCAAGGTTGGGGGGCCACGGAAGATCACATGCGCCGTGGGCATGCAGAGATGCAGAGATGCAGAGATGCAGAGATGCAGAGATGCAGAGATGGTGACTCGGTGGGTGGGCGGGCCAAGGCGCTGTCAAGTCTTGGGGGTATCACCAGAAGGCGGAGGAAGAAGAAGATGCGATGATGCCAGTGAAGAACGCATGGAGCATGTGCTCTGTATTGGGTTGCAGGCGGCCCTGTCGTGGGAGGGGGGACTCTTCTCTTTGTGTAGCTTAATCATGGGGGAAAGTTGCACAAAGCGGATCATAGGCAAGATCGGTTGTCCGGTTGTCGAGTTGTTCTCATGAGTTGTCGAGTTGTTCTCATGAGTTGTCGAGTTGTTCTCATGAGTTGTCGAGGCTGAAGAGAGGGTCGAGTTTGAAGACGAGAATCCATCCTCATACAACGTTCATATGAAGTTGACGTTGTTTGTTTCGGATGAACCATGCAGCAAGCTGGTCAAAGCACCCCAACAAGGTAGATCCAATGCTCCACCGCCCAGTCCTTGTGCTGCTGGTCCCGTCCTGGTCCCGTCCTGTCCCAGGCGCCTGTCACTCTGATCTCGGCCATGACTCGTGTGTTTCTAAGATCCGACCTGCATCGGCGCTTGCGCACCCAAGAAGGGACCCCACGCCAATCGCAGTGGCGGCACTCATCTGGTGGTTTCCAACACACTCACTCTCCCGTCTCCATCGCCGTGGTCCTCCCTCTTGAATCATCCGCCGCAGCGAATCCCACAATCGCTTCGAGAGCTCTCTTCTCATCATACGTTTGATTATTGGTCGGCTGTTTCGGTTGGCTCGTCAACATTGATGGGCTTGTTGTGCCCTCGTCCTCTGTCACGCCCGGCCGGCCGGATAGTCCGCAACGCACAACCAACCTGCTCAACGCACGCAACAAGCCACAGGCCAGGCCAGCAGCTGAGCCGACATCGCCATGGACGACGACGCCATGCAGACGCTCACCCCACCCCATTCGACCTCGACCTCGACCTCGACCTCGGCCTCAGGGGTCACCAAACCCCCCCTCCGGCCCAAGCCCAAGATGAACAATGCCTGCGAGGCTTGTAGGGCTGCCAAGGTCAAGTGCCAGCCCAGCGTGCACGCCGGCATCTGTCGGAGGTCTGTGGCACCCCGTCGCCTCCTGTCCCCGGCCGTGTGCCGTGCGTGGGCAGCCAGCGCCTGCGAGGCTCCTGCGAGGCTCCTGCGAGGCTCCGCGACTGACAACCACTTTCCAGATGTCTCGAGTTCAAGCGAGAGTGCGTATTCCGGACCGGCCCGCGGACACGGCGTCCCCGCCAGTCCAAACTGTATGTCCCCGTTCCTCGGAACCTGCCCCTCCCCTGCTCGCTGTCCGTCATACGGGATGGACAGGATGGACAGCGAGCAGGGGTACAATGGCCATCGCATGACGGACTGACGACCCCTCCCCAGCAACCAAGACGTGACCCCCCGCCCCCCGCTGCACGCCCCATCCAAGACGTTCAGCATCAACTTTGACATGCCGGCGCCCGAGGAGCCTTCGCCTTCGTCCTTTGCGTCCCTGGCCTCCCGCCACGCCTCCTACATCGAGTCTCTGCTGCCAAAGGACAACGAGCACACGCCCATGTTCGACGATCTCGTGTTTGATGCCATCAGCTCTTTTCACCATCCTGGCGGCATCGCCCTGACGCCTCCTCTCTCTCACTACGGTGCCCACCACGGTGCCCACCACGCCACGCGTCAGATAGCGCACCACGATCCTCATGCTCGTGCCCACGGCGCGGGCTCTCACGGGGTCAGCTCTCACGGGGTCAGCTCTCACGCGGCCAGCTCTCACGCGGCCAGCTCTCACGCGGCCAGCTCCCACGGCTCCAGCTCCCATCACGCCTCCCCACACTCGACCTCGTCCTCCTCCGGCCACAGCCACTCGCCCCATGCCACCGTGTCCATGTCGACCGTCGGTCTGAAGCCGCAGTTCAACCTCGACCTGGCCGCCAGCCTCCTCACCTCGTTCCGTCGCATGCTGCCTCATTTCCCCTGCATCGTGCTCCCCGATGACGCCACCGTCCCCTCGCTGGCCAAGTCACGCCCCTTTGTCCTCCTCGCCATCCTCTCCGTCGCCTCGGGGGCCGCCTCGCTGCAGGGACACACGCTCTACGACGAAGAGTTTCGCAAGGTGCTCGGCCTCAAGTTCGTGGCCGGCGGCGAGCGCTCGCTCGAGCTGCTCCAGGGCCTGCTCATCTACACGGCCTGGTACCCCTTCCACCTGCGGCCCAAGAACAAGCAGGCCTTCCAGTACGTGCGCATGGCCGCCGAGATCGCCCACGACCTCGACCTCGTCGAGCCGCCCCCGGGCGCCATCGTCGACGCCGACGCCGACGCCGCCATCTCGCCCGAGCAGATCGACGGCATGCGCACCTACCTCGCCTGCTTCTACCTCATGTCGAGCTTCCTCGTCACCTGGGTCAAGTTCACGGCCGTCGGCCTCGAGCACACGGCCTGGACGGCCACGTGCTGCGACGTGCTCGAGCGGCGCTCGCCCGTCCCCTCCGACCAGACGCTCGCCTGGTTCGTGCGCTTTGCCCACATCATCGAGACGACGCACAAGCTCGACTACCTCGGCCCCGAGGGCGGCGGCGGCGGCGAGACGAGCCGCGACGAGGCCCGTCTCATGCTGCTCGGCCTCGAGAGCCAGTTCAACGCGTGGAGGGCCCGCATACCCCACGCCCTGCTGTCCCAGAGCCGTGAGTGTCTCCTTTTGTTTTTCGTCTTGTCGGATGCGCGACGTCAGCTGGTGAAGAACCGGCGCCGCAAAAATGACCATGGCCACACTCATGATCCTGATCAGTAATGATCCGATCAGTAATGATCCTGATCAGTAATGAAAACATGCTAACGAACACAGTCGGCCTCTCCATCCTGACCACCTTTACAGACCTCTACCTCCACGCGGCGCCGATCCACCGCTTCGCCCCGCCGCGCACCGGCCCGCGGACGCACCTCCTCAGCGCCGAGGCGCCGCGGCTGCGCTACTGCCTCCCCGTGCTGCGCGCCCTCCTCGACACGCTCGCCGCGCTGCCGGCCGCCGACTTTGCGCCGCTCGCCACGAGCGACTGGGGCAAGATCATCCAGGTGACCATTCTCTCGCTGCGCCTCTCGTTCCCGCTCGCGGCGTGCCCGTCGTGGGACGACGCCGCGGCGCGCGCGGTCCTCGACTTTGGCGGCTTCCTCGACCGGTTCGTCGGCGGTGATGCGGCGGCGGTGGCGAACGCGGCAGGGGCAGGGGCGGGGGCAGCAAGAGGAGGAGGAGGAGGAGGCGCACCAGCAGGAGGAGCACCGGCAGGCGCCGAGGCCCCCAAGATCGACGTGCTCACGGCGAGCAAGCTCGTCTTCGGCATCGTGCGCGTCAAGTACCGCGGCCGGCTGGCCAAGCTCGAGACGCCCGAGACGACGCTGGCGCGCGGCGCGCGCGGGTGTCCCATGCTCGACGGCAGCCTCGACGGGTACTTTCCCGCGTGGGACCCGGACCTGACGGCGCCGGCGCCGGGGGGCCTGTGGCTCGGCGAGTCGCGGCCGTGGGACGCCGGCCTGCTCGACGACGGGGGGTCGTCGGTGCAGGATGTGTGGTCGACCATGACGCTCGAGTGGCCGGCCGAGGGGGATGGCATGGGCGCCGAGATGGGCATGGAGATGTACAATGGCGAGCAGTAGAGGCGGGGTTGGATGTGCTCTTGTATCATCTAGGTGTATACGTTGTGTGTACGAGTAGTGCTGTCGACGGCAGGGCATTGGTGAGGATGAGCAGTGGATGTTCCTGCAACCCCTCTTTCTTAATCCCCTCTTTCTGAATGGAAATTTACAACTCCTGTCACGAACGGCTGTGCCACTTGGCCCCGAGCTTCTTGACTGTTTCTTTTTTTTT